GGGGAGAGAACACGGGTGACTCTTGTAAAGGTCTGTGAACATGATAAGGACTTGACTTTGGGAAGTCTGAGAAGCCATGGGAGGGTCTCAAGCCCAGCAGTGCGAAGACCCAGCTGATATTTGAACAGATTCCCTTGACTTCTACATTGAGACTGGACTGGGGTGGTGCGAGTGAAAGCAGGGAGGCCAATTGGCCAGCCCTTACATTGTAGTGCGATTACACACACCCAGCAAATGCACAACAGCACCAGGAGAAAATGAAGCCGGGGTTTCTGCAGGGTTGCAAGCTTCCCAAATGTCTGTGAAATCACTGAGGCCTGCTCTGACGTGCACAAGGACATTGTCGGGAGTCTGGAAAACTATAGATAGTACTTGTTCAATGGTGTGATTGGAGCCCAGGCCCATAACCCTCTTGGGTGGGAAGTGACAGCCCCGGGTAAAGGCTGGCTGTGATGAGACAGCACGTGGAGTGGTTGCTGTGTAGAGCAATGACAAACAGGCAGGGCTGCCGAAAAGGGAAGTGGACCCTGTGCCAGCCCAAGTTCTGTCTGCTTTGTCCATAAAAGGCGATGAGTCGCTCCACAGAAGTACACAGGCCATCCGCCCGGTCTCACTCGCCAGGATTTATGTTGTCTCGTTCATTGTGAGCACCAGTTCTTCATGCACTAAAACTCTTGTTTTTTAAACTGCCCAAATTCCAAAATAAAGCGAGCAGTTTATTTTTTTTTACCTATTTTCATTTATACTTTCATTCTTTCAGAAATGAAAGAATATATTTTATGCCTTTCAGAAAGCAATTTCAAGGACCCAGTATTATAGGCAAGTCAGTGCAATGTCATCTCTGATGTTGACTTCACTGTTTTCTTGTTACGAAGAATATTTCTTGTAGCTAATTAGCTACTTAAAGATAACCAGACATTCTCTTTAGAGGGCACTCATTATGCCTGGGCTTGACATGGTTGGCAAATTAGGCAGCATTGGTGCCTGCCACACTCGCACTTATCCCTGATCACCGTTGCCACTGACCATGGACTTGCTTCATTAACCTTCTTCCCACTGGGGCTCCAGAAAGTCACCACCAATCAGTGAGAGCAAGTGTGCCCAGTGAGCACTTCATTATCCTGGGGTCCTATGCGGTGTAATCTTAATTTTTGTCTTCATGGATACCAATTTAGGGAAGGCTCCCTGATTGAGAACTCTTACCTCAAATGTATTATTTTCTTGGCAGTACTAGGGCTTGAACTCAGGGCTTTGCATTTGCAAAGCAGACCCTTTACCACTTGAGAATGCCTTTAACTCTTTTTGCGATAGTCATTTTAGAGCTAGGGTCTCATTTTTTTGCCCAGGCCAGCTCTGCTATAGCCGGGATGATAGGAACACACCCACCCCAAGTTTTCCCCATTGAGATGAAGTCTTGTGAACTTTTCACCCATGGCTGGCCTTGAACCATGATCCTCCTGACCTCCTCCCAAGTAGCTACAAGTAGTTAGGATTACAGGCATGAGCCACCAGTACCACCTGTTTTTTTTTTCTTTTTTCTGGATATAGTAGGGTTTGAACTCAGGGCCTTGCGCTTGCTAGTCAGGCACTCTACCACTTGAGCCACTCCCCCAGCCCTTTTTGCTTTGATTTTATTTTTTGAATAGGGCCTCACGTTTTTGCTCAGTCTGGCCCGGACCATGATCGTCCTATTTGCCTCTTATGCATCTGGGAGGACAGGTGTGCACCACCATACCCGGCTTGTTTGTTGAGATGGGGATCTTGCTAACTTTTTGTCTGGGCTGACCTTGAACCCCTCTTGAAAAGCTAGGATTACAGGCTTGGGGCCACAATGCCTGAGCTCAGTGTAGATATTTTCAAATATGGCAATCACTGGAGTCTGGATTCCTCACTAATATGAACATTTAAATACCTAACTAATAGATTCACTAATACCCAGGTGTAGTGGTTCACCTCTGTAATCCCAGCACTGAGAAGGCAAAGACAGGAGAATTCTGAATTCGAGGCCTGCCTGGAATACATAGTGAGACCCTCTCTCTCAAAAAAAAAACTTTTTTAGATTTAATAATAGCAATTCATTAAAGGCATCTTTTCTACATGAACCAAAGACTTTTAATACTAGATTTACACATGGTTCCCTTTACATTTTAAAAGTCAGGTGGCCTCTGTTTTCTCCCAGTCTCTGGGCTCCTGACTTGATTTAATGGCACAAGTGGTTTGCAGTTTTTGAGAGCTCTGTAGTCATCTTAAAGCTGAGTGACCAAGTTAGGAATGACCCTTTAGGGGAAGGCCTAAAAGAATGGTGCATGGAGGGTCTTAAGAGGCAGTGGAGGGGCAGAGTTTATCCAAATACAGCCAGTGCCACAGCCATGACTGGAGAATTCCCATCAGGGTTTTCACTTACCAAGTCAAAGGGTCAGCAGTTGAGGTCAGCAAGGTGCTCCCATGGGGCAGATCTCCAAACCCCTCATGCACCTGGACCCCACAAGTCCAGAGAATCAGAACAGAATCACAGAAGATTGGGCCCTTTCCCTTCGTAGCTTGGTTAATGATGACTTGAAGACTGACCAGCTAAGCATCTTTCCTGGCCCAGAGTGTTCTCTGTTGCCATCAGCCAGGGCAGGCACAAGCTTTGCTGGGAGTCACCTGTCTCCATATTCCAAGGATGCAGACACTTCCTTCCCAGAGCAATGGCCCTTGCAGGGAAGAGCCCAGTGGCCAGCTCCAACCTCTGCATTCTACTCAGGGTCACCACAGATCTCCCTCGCTGTTCATCCTCCATCCCAGGGATAACATAGGCTCCAAAGTCGCCACTATTTCTTTCAGAGCTGCTAGAAGCCTGAGGACAAGTAGGCAGGCTGTCCTTATTTTCTAGGTAAGGCTCTACAGCAAAAGAACAGTTCAGAACTCTCTACTGTGTGTTACAGTGGGAGCTTGTTTCCAGGAAGAGAAAAGTTCTATAAAATCCTTTGTTTTGCTCCTAGGGCACTAACTGTCCCCAGGAATTAGAAAAGTGATACAGAAACTGGCACTTCTCACAAGGCCATGGTCCTTCCCTGACCCTAACCTGGATCAGGACAAATGGTCATTTGCCACTAAGTCAGTCTCTGATTGGCGCCTGTTAGATTTCAGCAGTGGAGTGGGGAAAGAATGTCCTCCTCACTGCAACATTAGGAGAGACATGGGACATCTCCATTCCTCCACCTCCTACCTTTGTGACCTGTTAGAGACTCCACCTGGCTCCCTCCTGTTCTTAATCCTTCCTGCACTCCAGGCCAGGAGGTCTGGAAGCAGAGTCAAGCAAATCCAGACCCCTTCTCCTAGGGTTGGCACTGCCAGGCAGTGACATTACTGTAGTTTTAACTGCCACCTCTCAGGTTATGAATGAAAGGCAACTTGTGATGACCCCAAAATGGCTGCAGTGTATTGTCTTGACAACCTAGCACTATGTAGGTAGATTCAGCAGCCTCCCTCACAGAAGGGAAGAGGACTGCCGCATGGAGTTGAAGGTAAAAACATGAAATAATTGAGGTGTGATCCAAGAGCAACAATACCATTTACCTGGTCCTGTATCCTAAAGAACAAGTTCCATAACTCAATCAACGGTTTACGCATTAGAGTATTGACTTTATATATTCCTTACCTCTTTTCTAAAAGAGATTTGAGGTTAAGTACAAAAAGTGGGCCATAACAGAGAGTGAGCCCAGTGCTACCAGGCAGGTTACAGTCGGGCAGGATGTGTTACCGCCCAACCCTAATCTCAAATTCTCTTGGTCACTCCCTCCCGCTGCTCTAAGCAACAAATCCCCAAAGGTACCACCCGGGATTCTCCCAACTGCCTGCCTCTTGCGCTCCCTCCTTTTCTCCCTGCTCACTTGTCTCTGGGGACAGTGTGTCCCCTACTTTCCTTGGGTCCCGCCTCCCTGGGATGAAAACGCCCCCATTTACCTGGCGGGGTAGAGCTTTGGGAGGTTTGCCTGTGTCTTGCACACTGGCTCTGTCTGCTGTTTTACATCTCCAGGTTCTCTCCGTGCGCTCCACCACATTGCTGAGGAAGTCCCCAAACCTGAGCTGGGGTGGCACGCGGGAGTGTGTACGTGTAAAGATGTGTGCGTGCGTGTACACACGCGTGCGTGCCTGTGTGCTTGGCGCACGGGGAGGGAAAAGGCGCTCCATCCAGGCTCTGCGTCACGCCCGCAATTGGGGTTAAGCCGGGGAGGGCGCTTCAGCCTTCACTGTTTTCTTGACTCCCCCATTTTCCTGCCTTGTGTCCGTGCGCCCCAAACGGGCATGCATGCCTGCGTCCATCCCCTCCCACCATCCAGGGGTGATGCGAGGCTGAGCCAGGTGGCTTGGTCGCCCTCCCCCAGTGCGCTGCGCAGTTTTCACAATGTCCATTCTGGAGAGAGAAAGCGAGGGTGCAGATGAGGCGACGCTCCTGCGGGAGCGTGGGCTGGCATGGCAGTGCCACCTGCTGAGAGCCTCTCAGGCCAAGCTAGCGGCGGGCCGTGCCACCTGCTATAAATAGGAGGCCGAGGACAGGGTGTGCGACCACAACAAAACCCGCCGTGAGGGCCTTAATCACGCGCGGGGCCCCGCGTCCCTGGCTGTACTGGATCACGCCGGGCCAGGACCCTGAGCCTGGATGGGGTGGCGATCCGCTCCCTCCCCGCGCCCTCTCTCGGTGGCACCTGGAGCCCCGGGGGCGGGCTGACGATGGACCACTGGGGAGGAGGCAGGGTGGGGAGGGTGACTGTAACGGACCCGCACTGCAGCAGCTGTTGCTCACCGGCACTAGCCGGTCTGGGCCGTGCCACCCCGCAGAGTCACAAGGCGCAGTGGGGAAGTGGGGGGGGCATCATCCCCTCCCGGCTCTTGGGGACAGACGAGGGAGATCCCGGTTCCTGCCCTCCCCTCGCCTCCCCCGCGCCCGCCCAGTCAGGGAGGAGGAAACGCGAGCCGCGCGCAGACACCTCCTCCTCCTCCTCCTCCCCCTCCGCCACCGCCGCCGCCGTTGCCGCCGGCCACCGCGCCTGTTGCTGTCGCCGCTGCGGGACCCGCTGTATCCTCAGCCCGGAGAAGAGGCGGGAGACCGGCCCAGCGGTCTCCGCTCCCGGTCCCCGGCGGAGGGAAGAGCGCAGTCAGCGGCTACCATGGATGCCTCGCCCTCCCAGGCCGTCCCCAGGATGCCCCAGAGCACCTGCGCGCCCGGGCAGGGCCAGGGGCTCTGATCGCCGCCACACAGGTAGGCGCCGCCCACGCCACCCACTGTCTCCTCTGGGGCAGCCTGGCCGCCCTCACCTCCAGCACACTCCCAAGCTCTCTGGCTGCAGAGAAGGCGCAGTCCGCCAATCTAGGGACGATCCTGCTGTCCTCACCCAGCAGGGTCTCTCGAGGAGCAGGGAAGGAGGTGGCGAGTTCACTGTCACCTGGTTGTCCCCTACTCCGACGAAAGCGAAACCCTGATGTTCAAAGGGACCCGGGAGTTCCGGCCGGCTTCCACCCTGCCCCTCCTCTGTTCACTCGTCCTCGCATCTCCAGCCTCCTCCCTCCCGCCAAATATCTCCGGGGCTCTAGTACTTGCAAGGCGGCCAGATTGGGTGAGGATGGTCAGAGTGACCCCATGCCACTCCCTTTAGAAGTTCAGGGTACTTTGCAGTAGTAACTTTGGCAGCGTCACTGGAGCGCGCCACATTTCTTTCTATGGGCACATCCTGTACCAGTCATTTTGAAACCCTGCTCAAGTGTTTCTAGCAGCTTCCTGATCGCTGTGTGATTCTGAGACTCCCTCAAACTTCGCCACACGGGGCTGTTTTAATTTGCTGAAAGAGGTATCATTGTGTTTGAAACCCACCTCGATGATGTGCCTTTCTCTGTTGTGATTTTGTTTAAAATAGCTTGTTCTGCGGAAGTTGCTTAAAAAGGAGAAGAAATTGAAAGTGATGGTTGTTCCTCCCACTGAACAGTTTAATTTGCAGAGTGTCTGTGTTAACGGGTAGGTGGGTGTCCCTAGGTCTCTCGTTCTTTGTTTTAGATAACTGGATGATTTCATTTATTAGTATAATCAGACTTTGAAAAAGAACTAAAATGACTTGGTTTAAATGGGTCACACCCATGAAACGCAGCTATCTCTACAAGTCTAAACTTACAAACTTCTTGCACTGAACCTACACTGAACGTACAGGCTGTGATAAAGAGCCCTTGTTTAGGGGAGCAAACACGCATTCCCTTCCCCAGATGTGAGATAGGATTGGTAGGAGTTAAAGAGCCACCCCTGGGTTTTGTTGTGTTTGGGGAGCCTGCTGTGTGTGGGCGGGGCTGGGATGGAAGAATGAAATGAGAGCAGTTTCCAATGTGCAGGGAACCACCTTGCAACACTTTTCATCTGTGATTTTTCATGTTCTCTCGCTCCCTTGAATTAGGGAAAAAGGTAAGTTCTTTCACCTTTTTCTAGTGTTGAGACGGCTGCTCTTAGTTGGGAAGAAGGTGTGTCTTATAATCAACTCTTTACTGAGAACCCCAAAGATTGTCCAAAGGAACCAGGAAGTTACATGAAAGTCTGTAAATGGATATTTTCCAGCTGTTTAAGACTGGATGCTGTCAAGGTTTCTGATCTGCCTGTTTCTTGTTTGTTTTTTCTTACCAAGTTATAGGGAAATAAAACTATACCAAGTGCTTTCTCTCCAGATTTATTTGTAAGCAAACTGTCCTAACAGGAGCTGCTGGGCAGTGAGCACAACTGTGAGTTAAAGGGTACCCTGTAAAATGTTGAGTACAAGTGAAGTTCCCTGACACGATTAATTGAGGACAAGGAGACATAAAAAGAATGCATTGTGGTTCAAAGGAGGAAATAAAACCATCAGGCAATAATTAAAACAAATGCCTTTACGTGGATTCGTTCAGTCATTTGCAAATTATTAGGAGAGGGTAAACATCATTGGCCTAGTTGCATCACGGGGAAGTTTTGCAGATGGGCCTCCCTGCCAGACTCTACCATCATCTATCCACTTGAGAGTCCTGGGTTTTCCTTTTCACCAGAACATTTCTGGTTGGGCGACAATCAGGTCAGTGTTGGTCTTTTATCCTCTGTTAGCCTGAGTTTGTCACAGTATTAGAGGGTATGAGGAAGAAATGGGTGACCAGAGAAGCTGGCTTGCCCTTTGTCCCTCATTATCAAGCTGTTGGTAACCCCGATCTTCCTTTCCTGGGAGACAGTTGCCTAGGAAGTCTGCAGTTGCAATGACATGTGCCCTGTGCACAGCCAGGTGTGGGTGGGAGCTCCTTTCTGGCCACATTTTATATGATCTTCTAGGATGTGCCAGGAGGAGGACTTGTATGCTTTTTCTTTGTTTCTTTTTGGCAGTATGGGGTTTGAACTCAGGGCCTCATATTTGGTAGGCAGGTGTTCTTCCACTTGAGTCAGGCTCCCAACCCTTTTTTGCTTTAGTTATTTTTCTGTTAGGGTCTCATGTTTTTGCTGAGCATTGACCTTGGACTGTGATCCTCCTACCTGTGCCTCCAGTAGTTGGGATCACTGGTGAGCCACCACACGTGACGTACTTACTGAGATGCAATCTTTTTGCCCTGGCTGGTTTCCAACCAGAATTCTTCGACTTCTGCCTCCCCGAGTAGCTAGAATTACAGCTATGAGCCACTATACCTGGTAAGGACTCTGTATCTTCAAAAATGCTTTTAATTTTAATTCAACAAATGACAGCTTCCTCAAACCTCTCCTCTGCTCTTCACTGAATTTTTCTGTAGGTCCCAGCCCCCACCCTTCCCCAGAGAAGCTATAAGTATATGTGTTCTTGGAGGACTTAATGCAGAAGTATGGGTGCCTTGGCCCAGTTCATTTTGCTCTTTTTGTATCTACTCCATTCCCTTCTGCATTTTAACAGCCATAGCACTCCCAATACTTTTCTTTCCTTGGTCATTAAAATCTGTTCATTAACATGACCGAGTCTGCTCTGTAGCTAAGGAGTGTTAGGATGACAAAGGATTAGAACTGCTTCCTTGCAATTTCCTTTGCTGGCTTTCTCCTTATCTCTTCCTTTTCAACCCTACACTTCAATAAAAATATTTTTTTAACAAGGTTCTTCACGAAAGACATGACCGTCTCCATTTTCAAGGCTTTTGACATTTTCAAGTTCAAAATTCTATTTGATGAGTTCTTAGATTTAAGGGTGATTCATCCCTTTTCAGATTTCAAATGCTTAGAAAAAGATTTGTCATATTTGGGCCATAGGAAATAACCATGACACTCAGGTTTCAGTGAAAGTGAAGCTTAAGCACTAACACATGTTTAATTTTGAATGTGCCTGTATATTTCCTTTGAGGAAAAAACAGCCATTTTTCCCATAAAAATATAATGCACTCACTTAACCTCAACAAAACTCTGTATATGATCAGTGAATCTAAACTTTCAAAGTAGGGTTGGGAGTGTAGCTCAGGTGGTATAGCATCTGCCTAGCAAGTACAAGACCCTGGGTTCAAACCCCAACACCACCAAAAGCAAGGTATTTGCTTCTAAACGTCCAAAGTAGGTGAGCACTTATGAGTTGTCAGAATTTATGTGCTTAAAACAGTGCCCACTATAGAGTGAGCTTTCAGTTAAAAGCACTTATTGCTATTACTATATTTATTTTTTATTTTTATAGTATAATTTTGGATTATTGAGGCCATGTAAAATTTAAATAGAACAATCAAGTTAATCTGATAGAAAAATATGTGAGGGTTATTCTAAAGATAAAGATACTATTATTTTGGAAAAGAGAGAAGTTTGTGCATACGGCAGGTCTGAGGCAAATCCTGCCTTCACCATTGTTAGAGAGGGGACCTTTTGTACAATTGGGACGATAAAACATGGTTCTCGTAGTTGGAGGGTACAGAAAGTCATCTCTGGAAACTGTCCAAAAAGAGGTGGCTCATTAACAGCTATTCCTCTAGCAGAATGCATAAGAGCAAGCACCAACTCTGCAGCCAAAAGATCTGAGTTCAAATCCTGATTCTGCCACTTTCCGCTGGGATCACCTTAATTAGGGGTCCTCATTGCCCTGGGCTGTCACCTTCCCTTCTCTCTCCTCTTTAAATTGTACACCGTGATGATAAAAATGGTTCATAGTAGTCCCTATTGTCCGGGGTTGTTGTGAGAGCTAAATCAGTTAATTGACATTTAGTTTATAGTGTGCTAACTGTTATTATTCTACATATAGCAAGAGGAGAGTTTTACATAATCCCTGAGGGCTGTTTAGGGTCTCTGTCCTCCACCCCTTTATCTTGTGCAATAAAATACAAGAGGATACATGAAGTGACCTCTGAGTTGTAAAAGAAGGAAGTCATTCAAAACCATCATTATTTTACAAGTCAAATTGAGAGGTGCCACCTGTCCACATCCCCCCACCCTCCACTCCCTTCTGCTGCCCCACTTCTGAGCATCTGCCTCTGGGGGCTATCTCCTTGCTTCCAGGATTACTGGGTGAGCAGCTCACTGCTGCCTGGGGTGGGATTGTGTGAGGAAATGAACAAATCACGCATCTAAGCCAGTGATCTTACTGCGTGATATTAGGGAACTTTAGGTATAATTCTGCTCAGGTACATGGCCATCAATTAAACCACTGACTCACAAAGGGGAATGAGTGGCCACCCAGGGAACTTCCTGCTTCTTCTGTGGTCCCCAACCAACCATATTGGCTGGTTCCTAACTTGTTGGGAGCTAAAGGCTCCCACCCCTCCTCCCTCCATCATTTTCTCTGCCTCCTTTCCTCTGTCTGTTTTTGTCCATTTTGTTGTAACTAAATTCCTGAGGCTGGGTAGTTTATAAATAAAAGAGGTTTATTTAACTTATAGTTCTGGTGGATGAAAAGTCCAAACACCATGGCACAAGCATCTGGTTAAAGTCCCCTGGCTGTATCACAACATGGCCAGCAACACAGGGCAAGGTTGTGTGTGTGAGAGTGACAGCTCACTTGTCAAGAGAGCAAGCATGAGAGTGAGGAGGGGTCAGTGTCCTTTGTAACACTCGCGCTTGTGGGAATGAATCCGCTCCTGCAGACACAATCCACTCCATGCAACCATCACTAAGCTCTTTAAGAGGGCAATCATGACTTAATCACCTCCCACTAGGTCCTGATTCTTAAAGGTTCTAGTACCTTCCAGCACTGCCACACTGAGTGCCATGCTTCCAGTATGTGAACCTTTGGGGGGCACGCTCCCACCACAGCACCCTCCCACCAGCATTCTGTGGAGGCGTGGGCTGAAACCTCAGAGGCTGGTGTAGTGTGGGCTATGGGAAGTCCCACCCCTTACTCTGTGGTTGGCTTGGAGGGAGTGGAGGGGGGCTGAGAAAAGAAGGGGTTCCCCGTAGGCAGATCACTAACACCTACCCTTGCTTCCTTGTCAATATGTCCCATCTTTCTTCATGTGCCTCCCCTACATTTTTGTTCTGAAGGGAAGACAGCAGCAGTTTTGTTGGGGACATTTGGTTCTATGCATTATGAAAATGAGATTCACCAGATTTTAGCAATAGAAAGCTTAGACATAAGGACAAACCTGAAATTTGGGGAAGTTAAGTCACTTGCTTTTTCAACTTCACGTGTTCTCATGGGGGAAATTGAGGTTCTTTGCAGCTCTTGGATGGACAACAGAGACTTGGACTGTCCTAATTCTACCACTGAATTTGAACAAACTACTTAACTTCTCCAGAACCCAGTTACATTATTTCAAATATGAGGGAAATTCCTAAATGGTTTAAAAGGTCCTTGCTCACTTTAAAATTTTATAATTCTAACTGCATGCTTCCAGAGGGAGATAGCATGGCAAGATTTACAAGATTATCGGCACTGTTCTAAGAAAAGGATTTCTTTGTGTGCGGTGGGGGGAGTTGCATGGTTAAGGACCATGCTAGATAGTTGTGTAGAATACAAAGGGTGTCTCTGGAGGGACTGGGCTTGTACACACCACTCTACCAACAAGAACATAAGTAGGAACTCACTGGAATAAGGGATCCTACCAGTTCCTCCTGTGGGTGTGACTAGAAGAGGCTGCTTTGGGATAGATGGTCTCTCTAGGGCTTAAAAAACAGATAGACCTACCTGGGGTTGAATGCAAATGATGTAGATTTAGATGGCTTTAAAAGTAATGCAATGGTTTGCTAATATTAGTGAATAATTCATCTATTTCATGACACTTCTTATTGAAAAGTAATGTAATTATTTCCCTCACCTAAGTTACCATTTTAAATTAGAAGAATCTGAATTGCTTGTAAATAATTATGGCTATGTCTGACATTGAACTTACAATTTGATATTTTATAATCAGTGTTAAGGTCTAATCTGCTTTTTACAGAGACTAAGATTGTGCCCCCAGCTGGTTGAAAATTAAAAACTTTAGGTGTTCAAATAGTTTTGTCAATAAAATGTCAGAATTAATTTGATAACTGATTATTTCCCAAGCGATTTAAATGACAAGAAAACTGAAAGTCATTTTGCTATGCTTGTTGCCACCTTATTAATAACTCCTTCACCAAAAATAATTCATAGATCTTGGGTCTGTTCTTTGAAGTAATTCTAGTACTTCTTTAAGCATGTCTTGGGATTAACAGCTGTCAACGGTTAGAATTTAAAGCAGATTCAGTTACAGAATGCACGTCAAGCCAGACATTTAATGCCACTTTCACCTGTAAGTGAGAGAAAAAAGAGAGAGAGGCTATTATTTACTGGATTATGTGAACTTCAAGGCTGTGTTCATTGTCAGGAGTGCCGTCCACTAAAGGAAAAGAGTCAGACTCACTTTCACAAAACGTGTGCTCTAAAGACATTGATTTACTTCCGAGCCTTTGAACATTTAAAGTGAAAAAGTTACCTCTGAAATACATTCAAACTTATAAAAAATTTACTTTTAGAATGCATCCATACGTTTTTCATAGAAAAACAGAGTAAAAATAATAGACTTCAGTTCTATTTCATAAAAGGTTTAAAATTTGTATACTGATTTTCATAACTCCATACCTTAAGAGTTTAAGAAGCTTGCAGTCCTGTTAGGGGCATCTATCACACTCTTCAAATATGATTAGGTGCAAAATGTAGAATGACATGCTAGTCACTGCTCCTAGTCACCTTGGAAGAAAGAGTTTGTGGTCACCTGAGCTATGACATATATCTGAGTTGGAATTAAAGGAAAGAGAGGGACGATGGAAGTAATTCTCATGAGTCCCTTATGTGACCTCATATCTGTGAGCAGGAGTACTGAATTGCCCTTATTCCAGGCTACGCTTTCAGTTATGTTTCTATAGCAAACAGCTGTGGAAGATAGAAATAGTGTCTTCCTATGGAGCAAGGCTGGACAGGCTTCCTCCCATGCTGGTATATTCATGGTACCCAACCTCAGGCTCTGCTCATGTAACACATGTGGTACAAGTGTCACCTGGCCTGTGGGAATTGGTGTCAGAGAACTGACATTAATGCTGACTCTGGCTACTGCTGTTGATCCAAGTAGTCACTTGTCCTTTGTAGTTGACCCAGAAATCTGAGGTCTGCTACCAGCAAGTTAACTTGTGGTAGATGAACTCGTGAGCTTGCACGTAAGAAGATCTCAGAGCCTGTATAGTCTGTGATCAGTATTATGTTCATGAAAGAGAGGAGCAGTGTGCACTGTGGCTCAGGGACACAAGAACACATGGGAAGTTGTGTCTAGTTCTCTGTCTTCAGAGCCAAAAGTGAATGAACACCAGGTGCTGGTGGCTCATGCCTATCATCGTAGCTATTAGGGATCCAGATATCAGGAAGATTGCAGTTCAAGGCCAGCCCAGGCAAAAAGTTCTCCAGACCCTCTCTCAACAGAAAAAGCTGGGCATGGTGGCACACACCTGTCATTCCAGCTACTGCAGAAAGCATAAATAGAAGAGTTAGGTTCAGACTGGCCCAGGCAAAAAAGTGAGACCCTAGCCCCAAAATAAACAAAGTGAAAAGGACTGGTGATATGACTCAAGCAGTAGAGTGCCTGCCTAGCAAGTGGGACATCCTGAGTTAAAAAACCCAGTACCACAAAAAAAAAAAAAAAGCATGAAGGAGACATTAGGGAGAATTTAAAGTTGGAGATGAGACAGAATCAGATTTCCAATAGACACTGTATGTCATGGTAGAAGAGCTTTGATTTCACGGGGTAGGAGGAGTTCTTAAGGAAATTTTAGCAGAACATGACATGATAAATTCTGCGTGATAGCACAATTCCTCTAGCAAATACGTGAAGGATGGAGGAAGGATGAGGTACCTTTTCTACTGGTGAGGAAAAGAGAAGATGTATTTAGATGGGAGAGTGTGCTTAAAGTAGTGATAAGGTAAAGGAGGAAACTAAGGACTCTGTAGCATGACACAGTGCTACAGTATGAAACCAGCACTAAGGAGAGGAGGCACAGCATGGCAGGAGAGTGTGGTGGAGCAAAACCACTCACCTCAAGGCTGGGAACAAAAGGGGAAGAGGGAGAGGCCAGGATCCCACTGTCCCTCTAAGGGTACCCCGCAATGACCTAACGACCTCCCACTAAGCCCCACCTCTTAACTGTTCCCCATCTCCTCAGACATAAAAGCCACAGGGCCAAATGATCGTGGACCTCTGAAACAAATGAGCCAAGACAAACCTTTTCTCTTTACTAAATTGAGTATCTGAGGTGTTTGTTACAGTGACAGACAGCTGACCAATACAATCAGTAACTCAATAGTGATGCTGTTCACTAAGATGCAGCTTTTAGGAGGGAAGAGAAGTTTCTGGGAAGGACTTCTCAGAGTTTTTAAATAACTAAATTCAAGCTGAAGGGTTGTAGCCCCTCACTAATGGTTACAGAAGGCAATGGTTACAGTACATGAATTAAACAAAATAATATTTTGGATGGTATTTGGAACATGCTAGGCATGGAGAACATGTTAATGGAATATGCATTGGTGGTTCAGAACCTCTAGATAGCCTCAGGGAGAGCCTTTTAACATTGAGCAGGGGCCAAACACCAGTAGTTCATGCCTTTAATCCTAGCTACTTGGGAGGCTGAAATCAGGAGGATCAAGGTTTAAGGCCAGCCTGAGCAAATTGTTCACAAGACCCCCATCTCCAAAATAATTAGAGCAAAATGTACTGGAAGCTTGGCTCAAACAGTAGAGTATCTACTTTGCAAGTGGGAAGCCCTAAGTTCAAACTGCAGTCCCAGATCACCTCCACAAAAAAAAAATTGAGCAGGGGTTGGGCATTCAGTTCAGTGGTAGAGTGTTTACCTAGCATGAATAAGGCCCTGAGTTCCACCCCCAGCAACATACACACACACACACACACACACACACACACACACACACACACACTCACACACACTCACTCACACACACACATACAAGATAAAACTCTAGTAGTATCATCCTAAGTGATAAGCTCAGGTGTTTAAAACTGATCTGGTTCAGTAGACTGTGACAATGGATGGATGACTGATATTTTTTTCTCACAAGATTTTTTTTTTGAGTGGGATCACTTGCACTGACTTTTATTATCTTAGAGAAATTCCTTGACATCATTATTAATAAATATGACCGGGTGTAGAGCCCTCAGAGTCAGGCTGTGTCCTCTTGAGGTCTTTGTGTTCTGCAATGAGTGATTAGGTTTTATTTGAAATAGAATTCAGGAAAAGCTCTTTCTAGGCAGAGCAGCTTATTTGACAGAATATCCATTTCTACTTACACTTGGGTTTCAGACTTTTAAGTTCTGGAATAATAGCTCTCTAAAAGGAGCTATTGCTGTGACTTCATTAAATTCTAATGGCTCTGTTTGTCTTCCTCAGGGTTCTGCATCTCAAGCGTGTAAAATAGAGATTGCTCAGTCTAAAACAGAAAAACAGTGGCAAGGTTTCGCTCAGTCTCCAGACCTTTTCCAAGATGGAACCAATAACATTCACGGCAAAGAAACATCCCTTCCCTAATGAGGTCTCGGTGGACTTTGGCCTTCAGCTGGTGGGCTCTTTGCCTGTGCATTCTCTGACCACCATGCCCATGCTGCCATGGGTGGTGGCTGAGGTGCGAAGACTAAGTGGCCAGTCCTCCAAAAAAGAGGCAGCCACCAGGCAAGTCCGGCTTTGTGTTTCGCCCTCTGGACTGCGATGTGAACCTGAGCCAGGGAAAAGTCAACAGTGGGACCCACTGATCTGTTCCAGCATCTTCGAGTGCAAACCGCAGCATGTTCACAAACTGATTCACAATAGTCACGACCCGAGCTACTTTGCTTGTCTCATTAAAGAAGATACTGTCCGCCGGCAGAGCATCTGCTATGTGTTCAAAGCCGATGATCAAACAAAAGTAAGTTGAGGCGGGGATCAAAGGAGGAAGGCGTAGCTGGAATGTTTTTGTTGTACCAGGCCAGGGAGTTTATTTTAAGTAGATTGAAGGTGATAATGCTATAGTTATACATAGATTATTTAACTGATCTTGGGGGCTTATAGGGGATAGTTTGTAGTGGTTTTGAAGGATATTTTTGTAACAGATATTAGAAATGATAAGTTTATGACTTCAAAGCTTCAACAGAAAAATCTGTCTAGAACTAGAAATAAGGGTTGCAGTGTTAGAACCCAGACTGCTTAAGACAGCTGTTCTGAAGCTTCAGTGCTTCTTGTTGGGCACTGGTGGCTCATGCCTGGAATCCTAGTTACTTGGGAGTTCTGAGTTAGGGAGGATGGTGGTTCGAAGCCAGCCTGAGCAAATAGTTCTCAAGACCCCATCTTCAAAATAACCAGAGCAAAATGAACTTGGAGGTGTGGCTCAAGTAGTAGAGTACTTGCTTTGCAAGTGTGAAGCCTTGAGTTCAAAATCCAGACCCACCAAAAAATATACATAAGTAAATAAAATAAAGCTTCAGAGCTTCTCCAACTGCAATGTGTGCATGATCATGTGATCACCTGGGGGTCATTAAGATGCAAATCTTGATTCAGTAGTAGGTGGACCCCGAGATCTTCCTCACAAGCTACCGGGTGAGGCCGATGCTGCTCCTTTGCAAATTGCACTCTGTGTACAAAGTTCTAGATCTGTGATCGCTGCATTTTTTGAATCCCATTAAGAAAAATATAGTTATTTATAAACTGTATAAAAATACTTTGAGCCAGTTTCCTAAGGAACAGTGTCTACTTGGGCTAAGGTCACTGGTGAGAGCTGTGAATGGGAATGGTAAATTGTGACTATTGGAGTTCTCTTGTGGCTCTTTCCTTTTGCTAGCTTCATGCGAGATCTGATTACTTTGTTATCATTTTATTTTGTGGTGTACCTAACAAACCTGAGATGCCGTCAAAGCACTGCTATTGTTCTATTTGAACTTGCACTGCTATCAGCATTATTATTTGTAGTTCTTTGCAGGGTTCATTTAAAGCTACTTGTCCATTTAGTGGTGATTAGTTTAGATAAAACTGAAAATATAATCCATATAGCTACTTTCTCAATTGGGTCCGTGAAAAAGGTGCACTGTAATACACAAGAAACCAATAAAGAGTTGAGGGCCCCACAGCTGACTCCATGCGTGGGCTGAAGAATCCCTCAGCTGCTGTGAGTGCTAAGCTTGTTCTATGTGACTTGGCTGTGGATCACATGTACTGAGGATGCTAGTGTCAACCCATATGGGAAATATTAATGAAGCTTAAGGCTTTCATATATTCAAATTTAAAATATGAATAGAGGCTGGGTGCAGTCTGGTACACACCTGTAATCCCAGCTACTCAGGAGGCGATCAGAAGGATTTCGGTCTGAGGTTACCCGGGGAAAAAGCTCAAGATCCTATCCAAAACTAACTAAAGCAAAAGAGTGCTGGGGGTGTGGCTCAAGTAGTAGAACATCTGAGTTCAAGTGTGAGACCCTGAGTTCAAACCTCAGTATATATGTATGTATATGAGTGAAGACACTAATGTTTTCTTTCTGCTCTCCCTTAAGTAATTTTGCGTACTCTTCAGTGTGTAAGAACATCATTTGGATTAATGTTCTTGATACTAAGTATAGTTGGATTTCTGTACCCATAGGTTCCACCTGTGGGTTCAACCAACTGCAGCTAAAAAATATTTGGCCAGAAAATTACATCTGTACTGAACAGGTACAGAATTTTTCCCTTGGTCTTTGTTCCCTAACAGTGCAGGATAACACTATTTACATAGTTTTTACATAATTTTAGGTATTATAAGTCACCTAGAGGCGATTTAAAGTAGATAGGAGGAAGTGTGTAGGCTCTATGCAAATCCTATGACTTTATAAGGAACTTGGTGTCTGGGGGAGGGGTCCTGGAACCAGTCACCTGCAGACACAAGGCAGTAGACTTGTGGAGAGACAGTGGTTGATTCTTTTACTCACAGGTTCAGTGGTTGCTGCTCCAAGTACTATTGGAGAGGTTATCAGCAGAGGCTAGGAGGAAGTCAGAAGCACCAACAAGCAATCAGGTCAGGTGGGGCAGGCGCAGAGCATTCTGGGAAGGCAGAACAGAGCCTAACACACACCATAGGAGGGAGGGTTTCTTGAAATGGAGAGTATTGTGGAGCTCAAAACCACTGTTTCACGCACATCAAATATCTTATTGTTATAAATCATGTGACATTCTTGTACATACCACTCAAATGGGCAGGACAGCAGGATGGTGGGAGGTTCCGAATTCTAATCCTTCCTCTGCCCCATATAAACTGGGTGGCCTCAGGCAACTAAGTCTGTTCCTCATCTGTAAAGTGGGAATAATTAGAGTATCTAATAGAGGTAGAATGGGATCTGAAGCTTAGTAAGTGGACTGGAAGTGTAGCTCAGTGGTAGAGCACTTACCTTGCATGTGGGTTCAACTCCCAGAACTGCCAAACAAGAAAAGAAACTTAGTAACCATTTATGGTCATAAAAATTTATTCAAGAAAGTTTTTACTGGAAGCAGAATAAGTGCTAATTTCCCTTTAAGTCTTTTCTAAAAAGAGAAAGTACACCAAGATGCCCATCTCCAGCTCTCAAGGATACAGCCCTGGTCATGCTTGTGCAACATATTCTAAACGAGATACTTACCAAATGGCATAAACAAACTCCAGGGTTCTTGTTATTTGGGCAGATTCCAGAATGGAAATGTGAGGGGCGAAGGGTCTATACCCAGGCCAGCTCCCTATAAGGACTGAGTTTTGTTGGTGAGAGGTTTTGCATGGAATAATTGTTCAGCACTTGACATTTTTGACTCCTTCCCAAAGTCTTTTACAGCCTTTTGTGAACACACTCTGGCCAGTCATTTGGATACCTGACAGGAGGGAAAGATTTACAACTAAATTCTGTAATTGGGGCTTCCAGTCTTGCTCAAAGTCAAGAATTGGCCTTACTCATTTTCTAAAATGCCAAAGATGAAATATGAATTAGTTCTTAGGTTATTTTTGGCTTGCCTACAATTTTTACAATCAGGTTGTCATTACTCAGAATATAAATTGCTGCTGACCTGCTCATTTTACAAAATATCTATTTGTAACATAGCTTCTTCAGAGATCTTGCTGTTGTCAAAACAGAATGATAAAATGACATTAGCTTGATTCTACATCTCACAGCAGAGAACTGTCCGCTGCAGTGGACAACCTCTGCTGTTTTGACTATTTGTAACATCTGCTCAGTGAAAGAATTCTCTAGATTAAGGCCTCTTCTAAACAGATGAAGTCAGCATGGATGCCTGCCAAAGGAGACATATCATTTATGACCAGGGTCAGAGCACAAAACTCCCGTTTGAGAGGAAATCCTTTGATTAGCATATAAATTAATTGACTGAAGAGTGTCAAGGGAGAAGAGGTACATGGGGTAGTCATTTTACAGGTGCACCATGAGACGGTGCACCCCTTACGTGTTCCGTAGAACATCCTCAAGCCATCTCATATGGAAGAGCTTCCATGACCAAACATATTAGGACAGCATCTCAAACTTTTTGATCTGAGGACCACTTTTCACTTTTAAAAAACTATTGAATAGCCCAGAGAGCACAGTTTATGTGGGTTATATCTATCAATACTCTATTTGAAATTAAAATTGAGTTATTATAAAGATGTTAATTTTAAATTTATTTGAAAATAAAAGTAATTAGCTCCTTAAATGTTAATATAAGTAGTGTTTTCTGAATAAAAATATTTTCCAAAAAATACTTGGCAGTAAGGGGACATAGTTTTATTTTATATTTACAAATCTCTGTGATGTCTGGATTAATAGATGATGACTGGAGTCTCACAGCTGCCTCCCATTCGTTTTGTTGTCATATGTCATTTTGGTTGATTATATAAAGAAAAATTTGGCCACAGAAAATGGAGGAAATTGTGATATTCTTTAATACAGTCAACTCTACAAACGGTAGCTTCTCTCTTTATTCTTTGTGGTTTCTTAATTAACTCAGTTATCTTTCCCAGAAATACATTCATAATTGGATATGTATATGACTAATTATATCCAATATATATAAACATTATTTATTTTTTATGTCTTTATTAGTATATAATAGTTTTACAGGGGTTGTTTTTGTGACATTTCCATATATGCAAACAACGTACCTGGTTTAGTTCATCCCTTCCATTATTCTCCCAAGTGAATACTAGTGAAATACATTGCATCTGTCTAGGAACAAGATACAATGAAGTGTACTGAAAACTGTTGAACACTCCAGGGTAGGGGAAAAGGGTGAGGAAGAGTAATAGAAGGGGTTCTGCTGATTAAAGTGCAGTATATTTAATGGGCAAATACCAAGGCAAAATCCCACTAACAATGAGGAACAGGAGTGTAGAACAGGTCATGTTAAAGGGAGGGCACCAGTGGGGGTGGGGCAAGGAGGGTGAATATGGCTGACGTATTTTCTATACATGCACGAATAGGGAACCTGTGGAAGTCAGATGGTAGTTTCTTATAGGTTAGCTGCAACATGAAAGCTGAAGCCATCAGAGAAACTAAAGCAGATACCTTAAAGCAACTGAGGCCAATAGGAAAAGGGGACCAGGAACTAGAGAAAAGGTGAGATCAAAAAGAATTAACCTAGAAGGTAACACACGCACAGGAAATCAATGTGAGTCAATGCCCTGTATAGCTATCCTTATCTCAACCAGCAAAATCCCTTGTTCCTTCCTATTATTGCTTATACTCTCTCTACAACAAAATTAGAAATAAGGGCAAAATAGTTTCTGCTGGGTATTGGGGGGGGGAGAGGGAGGGAGCGGAGTGGGTGGTAAGGGAGGGGGTGGGGGCAGGGGGGAGAAATGAACCAAGCCTAGTACACACATATGAATAATAAAAGAAAAATGAAAAAAAAAAAGAAAGCTGAAGCCATCTCAAAGCACTTGTGCACTTTG